GGGGACGGGGACGCGGGAAGGTGAAGAACCCGCCCACGGCCTCTCCACTGAGCAGAGGCAGAGCCAGGCAGAGCCCGCGCCCTTGCTCCTGCCCCCCGACCCGCGGGGCTGCCAGCCGGCTGGTGCCTGGCTAATGCCACAGCGGGGGTCCTGCCCCGCTGGCCACTCTGTGCCTCCGTCACCGGGCAGCTGCCACCTCACCCCTCGCCCCACCGGAGCCGCCTCGAGCGGACCCTTGAGGCCGCTCCGCCAGGAGATCTCCCTGCCTCCCTGCTGTCCGCCGGCGGCCGCCTCTGTGCACCGGGCCCGGTTCGAACCCCGCGCCAAGCCCTCGGCTGGCCTCACTGCCGTCCGGTCTGAGAGTTCCCGTCCGTAGTCCCCAGGGGACGAGGGCTTCTCGTCTGCATGGCCCGGGACCCCCTCCCCGAGCCCCTCCTCTGGCCGGCCTGGCCAGGTCGAGAAGGAGCTCCAGGCTTCCGGCGCCGCCCCTCCCCCGGGCGTCTGGCCCGTGTCCCGAGGCCCCTGAGCAGCGGTGGGGGCGAGAGCCCAGCGCAGAGTTTTCCATGGAAAAACCAGCGGCTGAAACCGGAGCGCCCGCCTGGCTTCTCCGAGCGCACGCCGGGCACCTGAGCGGGCCGCCGCGGGGGGCCGGGAGGGCGCTCAGGGGGCTCGTCCCACTGCGGGGTGAGAGCCCCCTGGGGGCGGCCCCGTGAGAGTGCCGCAGCCGCCCTCACCCAGACCGCCCACCATCCCATCCCGGACGCTCCCCTCCTGAGCGCCAGCTGTGTGGTTAGTCTGTATGTTCATCCCTGCGTTGCTTCCCCACGGGTGGCCACGTGGGTCACCCTCGTCAGCAGCACCCCCCCTTCCAGGCTGAAGGAAGAATGGGGGCGAGTCCGGGGGCGTGGCAGGGCTGGGCCGGCCCGGAGGGCGTGGGAACTCTGGAGGCGGGGCTGATTGGGGTGGCGGACAGGGCCCCCACCTCAAGCGCCAGGCACGGAGGTGCCCGTGAAGCTGGATGAGTGAAGGGGTGACGTGGGGGGTCCCCCCAGGGAAGCACGCAAGCTGTTTTGAGAATGGAAAGTGGGCATGGTGTCCCCTCTCAGCCGCCTCTGGTGTTTGTGCTGCGCCCCTCCGTGTGGGGGCCCAAGCCACAGCTCTGCCTGGCTGTGTGGCCTTGGGCGGGCCCCCTGGCCTCTCTGAGCTCCAGTCTGCACCCCGAGACACGGGCCTGGCCAGAGAAGACCGAGATGTGGCTGAGGCCCTGTGGTCAAGGTCAGCGCTCAGAATGGGGGGTTTAGTGTCGTTGGGGGCAAACCCCCACATCCCGAGGAAGACGGTTCTGAAGTTATTTCTGAATTATCGGCCCTATCTGATCACTCACGCTCCTGGCGCAAAACGCAGTGTGACTCTCTCCCACGATGCCGTATTTCACCTGCAGCCCAGGCACTGGCTGGGGGTGGCTGGGGACTCCCGCCTCCCTGCCCAGCAGCCCCTGGTCCCCGGGGTGGCATATGGGGAGTCCAGGTGGGGTGTCAACTGGGCAAGACCCGCCCCCTGTCTCCTTCCCCCACCCTGTCCCACCTGTGGCCGGGGTGCATGCGTCCTGTGTGCAGATGGCATTTTTAAAAATTGTGGTCAAAACCCGTGTGACGGAACACTGGCCTCTTCAGCCATTTTCGGGTGCACAAGTGTGGGGCGTGTGGCGGGTTCATAACGTTGTGTAACCGTCACCTCCGTTCAGGTCTAGCGCTTGTGTCAGCACCCAGACGGAAAGGCCACCCCGTGAAGCAGGCACTCCCGCCCCTCCCCCAGCCCCCCCCCCCACCCGGCAGTCTCGTCTCCCTCCCGGCCGCGCGGAGTCGCCCTTGCTGGGCCTCCCCCACGAACGGACGCACGCAGGACGGGGCCTTTCCCTGGGCACCGCCTTCTCGAGGTCCGTCCACCTTGCGTGTGCCCGCACTTCCTGTTTAGGAAGTAAAACGAGGCCGGACCGTGTGCCCCTGCGTGGACAGGCCCACCGGGCATGCTCACTCCGACACGGGGGGCAGGGGGGGCGGCCTGTCTCCTCCTCTCGGTTGCTGGGAGTCGTGCTGCCGCTCTCACCACCCATGTTCACGTTTCCGTGCCAACGCCCGTGTTTGCGTGCTTGGATACCGTTTTGCGTTCCCACCAGCAACGCATGAGGGTTCTGGGGACCCCACGTCCGCACCAACACGCGTGTTCTGTCGTTTCGAGCACAGCCGCCCCAGTAGGTGCGAGGCGGCCTCGCCGGGGTCCTGGCTGGCATCTCACTGACGCGAGCGACCTTCCCACCTGCTCGTGGCCATTGGCGGGTCTTCTTGGGAGAACTGTCTCTTCAAGCCCTGTGCCCACTTTCAGACTGGATGACCTTTTTGGGACCGGGCTGCCGACCCTCTCTTAGACGCCGTCTTCGAGTGCTCACTCGTTCGTGGGTTCACTCGTCCGCTGCACAGACACTCACGGGCAGTGACCCGGGGCAGCCCCCGAGGCCCCAGACGCAGCTCGGACCGGACCCTGCCCTGGAGGTGGGGGTGGACGCTGGGCACGGGCCGGGGCTGAGGTCGGTGCTCGAGGGACGCGCGCCTACTGCGTGAGTGCTCGGTGCCCGGGGCCAATGGGTTTGAACCCCGTGGGGCTGGTGCTTGGCCCCGGGAGGGAAGAAGCATTTGCCGGCCAGAAGCAGGAAGCGAGTGACACCCTGGGCAGAGGGAGGGGCCGGCACAAGTGCAGAGGAGGGTCCTTGGAGGCCGGGTCCCTGGAGACCTCCGATTCCAGGCAGAGGAACCCGGGGAAGCTGGGGATGAGCTTTGACCAGGGGAGTGTCGAGGTCGGATCTGGGTGCTGGTGGCAGTGGGGCTGGGGGGCCTGCCTGGAGGCGGAGGACCAGGGCTGCAACGACCGGTTTCGTCCACCCCAAGTGCTCCCGGAGACCCCAGTCAGACCCCATCTGTGGGCATTCCTGCCCCCAGCAGGGGTTCTTGCCCCAGGCGCGGGGCCGTGCGGCCCGCCTGCGGGAAGAGGGCAGGCATGGGAGCACGCGTGTGGCGCCCCGGACCCAGAGCGGGCGCTGACCTGTGGCCCGGAGCCTGGTGCCCGGCAGGGTTCCCATCCGTCTCACTTCCCCGGGCCGGGTCGGTTTTCGGAGGCTCTACAATTACTCTGGGCCGGATTCCCCGGATTCCAGCCCGCTCCCAGCCCCACCCGCCTGCGGCTCTTCCTCCACGCCAGCCTCCCAGTTTCTGCCCGCTGTGCCCGGGGAGGGGGGGTGCCGGGGGGGTCTCAGCCAGATTAGCGGGTGGGCCGGGCCGGCGGTGGGGATTGGGTGTCGCCAGGCGTCCTGGTCTCAGCACGTGCTCCGGGCTCACGCCCCACAGGGACTTTCCCAGCTGGCGGCGGGCGCTTGGCCACCCTGGGAAAACACTGGCCACTCTCTCCCCAGACAGGGGCAGGCGGGCAGCGGCCGCAGGAGGGGCTCCCTGTGCCGCAGGCCGGGGCCGTGGGCTTGGGGAGCCCCTCAGGGTCGCCCCCACCGCCGCCTGTCAGCCCTCCCTAGGCCGCCGTTCTGCCCAACCCACCCCTGCTTGCAGCTCGCTGCCCCTTCGCCTCTGGGCGCCTGAATCCACCGGGCACCATGTCCGTGGAAAGAAGTCTGGGGGTTCCTCAGAAAGCTAAGCCAACTGCCGTGTGGCCCAGCAAGTCCGCTCCGGGGCACGCGCCCGGGAGAAGCGAGGACAGGGCTCCGACGGCAGCGCCGCTCCCGGCAGCCGCGGGCGGGCGCGGCCCTGAGGCCCACGGGGGTGCATGGTCCACAGAAGGGGGTCCCCCTCCAGACGGCGGAATATTCCTCGGCCTTAAGAAGGGTCGGAGCACTGACACCGGCCACAGCGTTGGGGACCCTTGAGAACGCGACGCTCGGTGAGAGCTGCCGGCCACGAAGGGCCACGTGTCGTGGGATCCCGTGGGTCTGGGAAGCCCAGCCTGGACGAGGCCGCGGGAGCAGAGAGCAGCTTCTCGGTGGCGGGGGAGGGGGGGCTGGGGGGAGGGAGGGGGAGGGGCTGCTGGGGGCGAGCGGTTTCCTCTCGGGGTGCGGACCTCCCCTGGAGCTCTCAGCAGAGGCAGCGGCTGCCACGGACACTGCGAACCTACTAAATGCCGCGGGACTCCACCCTTGACAATGTTTCACCTCCCGTTCTGTGAACTGCACCTCACCAGACATGCCCACGCCGACCGCGGCTCCAGAAAGGGGAGACTGAGGCTGGCGGCGCCCTCCAGCCTCACTCCTGGAGGAGGCCGGGAGAGTCGCTCCAGGGTACCCTCAGGGGAGGGCTCTGAGGACCTGATGTGGGGCAGCACCCCACCAGCCCCGCACACAGTAGGTGCTCCATTCCTGTCAGCTCCTGCTTCCTCCGTGGAGGGCACCCGGGCAGCCAGAAACAAGTGGACAGCAGCAGCCGCCGCCGGGGGTGGCCTCCCAGTCCTCCTGTCTGAGCTTGCATGGTGGTGGTGGCGGCGGTGTGTGGGGGGGCACCGGCGTCTCGCCCCCATCCCACGGGTCTGAAGAGGGGGGCTCAGCGAGGCACGGGGCCCGCCCGAGGTCACGCACGGGCTGCACTGAGCGGGGGACGGCGGGCTCGGCTCCTAGCCGGCCGCTCGCTCGGCAGCCTGCCCGGCCCAGGCACCCGCTCCTGGGGAGCTGGGCCTGCCACGACGGGGAACCCCCCGTTCCGGAGCTGGGGTGTGCTGCTGGGGGCAGCTGCGTCCAGCCCCGGGTCGATGGCCGTCAAATCCGCAGAGGGTCCGCGCGGCCCAATCCGAGGCGGGACTCTCGCCTGGGACGCGTGGTTCCGGGACCCGCGGTCCCGTGGTTCGTGCAGTTTGGAGGCCGAGCGGGTGCGCGTCGTGGGAAGCAGCCCCCGGGGACGGCCCCCCCCCCCCGCCGCCGGCCGCTCACCCGCCCTGTCCCCTCCCGTCCGCAGAGCGCTATCCTCGGTCGTGGCCCTGGGAGCCAACATCATCTGCAACAAGATCCCCGGCCTGGCCCCGCGGCAGCGCGCCATCTGCCAGAGCCGGCCCGACGCCATCATCGTGATCGGCGAGGGCGCGCAGATGGGCATCAACGAGTGCCAGTACCAGTTCCGCTTCGGGCGCTGGAACTGCTCCGCGCTCGGCGAGAAGACGGTCTTCGGGCAGGAGCTCCGAGTAGGTAAGGGCGCCTGCGGGCTCCGGGGCCCCGCCCTCCGGGCTCCGCCGCTGGCCCACCCGCCCGCCCGCCCCCTGAGGGTCAGGCCCGGCCGGGCCCCCCACTGACCAATTCTGTGCCTCGGCACCTCTCCGCACCCTTCTCCGCGCCTGGCCTGGGTAGGGGCTGGGGCCCCAGGGAGACCCGGAGCTGGCCTGGCCCTCTGGGGCGCTGCCGTGTTGGGGCCAAGGGAGACGCCAGTGGGAGCCAGCCTGTGTGAGTGGACGAGGGTCCTCGCTCTGGGCTGTGGGGCCGGGGGCATCGAGCAGGTGTGGACGTGAGCCCGGCAGGCTGGTGGCCGGCGGTCCGGTGCAGCGGTCGGAGGCGCGCCCTGGAGTGTGCACCCCGGACCCTGTCACCCCTGCGCCTGCGCGGCTGTGCCTGGACACGGGAAGACAGGAGTGGAGTCTCATGGGGCGCTTGGGGGCCGCGATGAGAAGGGTGCCCCGCCCCCAGTGAGTGTCGCGTCAATGCTGCCGTGACCCCGAGAGTGGAGGGGTTTCCAGGCAGAGGGAGCGGCGTGGGCACGCAGGCTCCGCACTCTGTGGTGTGACGAGTGTGGGAACTGGGGGGAGCCTGTCTGGCTGGAGGGTGGGGTGGGGGTTGTGCATGTGGGCCAGGACGGGGTGGGGGAGGGGGGCACCTCCAACGCCGTGGGCAGTGGCAGCCGCCGCAGCACACCGGGCAGGGGTGGCGAGGTCTCTGCTGGCTGCGCCCCACTGTGCTGTGCACGGCCCCCGGGGCCACACGCCGAGTCTCCACACCCTCCCAGCCCTGGGAGTCTCTGCCGTGCCCATTGCTCAGGCAGGGAGACCGAGGCCCGGGGAGGGGCTCAGAGGGAAGAGTGGGGCTCCCGGAGTCTGACCCGGACTTGAGTCCAGCCGTGTGACTCCGGGCCACACGGGCTGCTCAAGGCTCCAGTTCCGTCTGTAAAACGTGCTCCCAGCGATGGGGCCCTCAGCTGGACCCCCAGTGCCCCTCCCAGTGTCTGCACACAGTGGGTGCCCTATCACCCGCTGTCCAATGAGTGAGTGAGGGTGGGAACAGTCACACAGCCCGCCCCTCCAGGCCATCTGGGTGTCAGGCGGGGGAGTGACAGCTCGGGGTGCAGCGTCGGGTGTGAGGGGGGAGCCTTGTTATCTCAGACCGCAGCCTGTGGGCACAGGTGAGCCTCTGTGTGGGCACAGCGTGTCCCAGAGAGCCTCAGAGAGCCCCAGCTGCCGGGACCCAGGCCAGAGCCAGAGCTCCGCAGGGCTCGGAATGCCTGGCATGGGGCTGGGGTGGCGCAGGGGAGAGCCCCCAGGGGCCCCTTTGCGGTGAGCAGCCTGTGGGTGGCACCTGGCGCGGCCAGGAAGACGGGTCCTCCCCTCCCTGGGGCCCCACCACCCAAGTGCGGCTCCTCCCTCCAGGTGCCACCTGGGGAGGCGGGGCTCCTTGGCCAACCAGCCAGGTCCAGAGGCCCGCCTGCGTGCCCGGCCCCTGGCCCCTCGGCCCTGGGACCCCGGGCGCTGAGGCAGCTGTGAGCACCACGCTGCACAGCTGAGGACGCCTGGACCCGGGGCAGGTGTGTGGGTGCCCGCGGCCACCAGGCTGGCGCACGGCGGAGCTGCGTTCAGATCCAGGTCTCCTTCCTGGAAACCTTCGACGCCTCCCCGTGCAGAGAGAGACGGGCGGTGGATGCGGCCCCGTGGCCTAACAGAGGGCTGGGGTCTGGGACTTCATTTGCGGTCACAAGACAGGCACTGGGGGTGACGGGGCCCCTCCTCAGAATCGGGCCCCGGGTGGGGGATTCACAGTCAGTGTCCCGGGGAATGCCGAACTCCCGTGGGCCCCCGCCAGTGACCTTCCCCGTCTCGGGCACTGTCAGTGCTCGCCCAGGTCGCCTCCGCTGGGAGTCATGCTGCCCCCGGGGGCTGCGAGGGCCGTGGCCATGAGCTCACCCTGACCCTTCTTGGAAAGGGTCTTCCGCCCAGCAGCAGTCCGGGAGGGCGTGCAGCCCGCCTGCAGGGAGGGCAGCCACAGCCCGGGAAGGACTGAGTGGGGAGCAGGGGGCACAGGGGGCAACAAGGTCCCCCCACCTCCGGGGGGGGCTGCACCGGGTGCTTAGCTCGCCCCCACTCGGACGCACAGTTTGGAGGTGAACTCTCAGCCGGAGCCGTCCACACCCGCGGTCCCCATCCTCAGCTTCTCTTGCTCCCCTTAGTGGCCAGGCCATGAGTGACCTTCGTGGGGCCGAGGGACCCCCTCTTCCTTGGCTGGGCCCCCACTCGCCGGGGGTCCCTCTTGTGTCTCGGGGCGCTCTTTCCCGGCCCACTCCAATCAGCTTGCCTCGGTGCCCAGACCAGTCTGGCCACTCCCTGCGGACAGCTGGGCAGGCCAACCCATGGGAACCCCTGGCTTAACAGGCTCAGATGGCCGGGTCCCAGCCTCCCCCACCCCGCCCCCTGCCTGGCCCGACGGCTCAGTTGGCGCAGGGTCACCTGGTGTCGCTCCCCCACCCATCTCGGCCCTCCGTCCCGTGGCTGATGCAGGGCCTGCCTCTCTAGTGCTCCCCTGGCAGCTCCTCCCGTCTCTCTCCCAGTCCCAGCCATGCCATGCCCCCCTGCCCCCTTCCTCCAAAACCTGTAGTAGCTCCCTATTGCTCAGGATGGAGTTAACTCCTCAGCTGGAGCTAACTGCTGCCTGCCAGCCGTCACTCCTGCCTTCCTCACCCAGGAGGGCTCTGGTCGGGGCTGCAACCGGGCAACGTCCTCTCAGGCAGCAGGCATCCTGCGGGGTGCTTCGGGGTGCTCGGTGCTGGCAGGTGGGAGTCACGAGCAGGACATGGGGCCCAGCAGTGCGGCCCGTCCTTGTCAGAGGCACGCGGGCGCCCCAGGCGCCGGGTGGGAGCTGGGCCACGAGCTGGCAGGCAGCCGGGGCCACTTGTGGGAGCGGCCGCTCAATTAATGATTGGCCCTGAGAGGGGGGTGGCCTGGGTGGGTGGGGGGGGTCCCTTCAGGCCGTGCCTGTGACCTTGGGCCCCGCCTAAGTCTTGAGAGCAGAAGGGAAACCTCTTAAAGGGTCACATCAACCCCTGCGCACTGTCACAACCCCTTTTCTAGCATGTGGTGCTGCTGCTCGCATGCTCCCAGAGGTGGGGAGCTCACTACTCCCCATGAGCCAGAGCATTCTTTCGTCGGCCCTGTGTGGGCTTTGCCCTGGGGCCCTCTGGGTGCCAGCTGCTCTGTCCCTTGGGGAGCTGAGGCTCACGCTGGCCTCCCTCCACCTACCTGGTGTCCCCTCATGCCTGGTGGGTCTGCCCCTCTGGCCACCCGAGCCTGCCCCAGGCCTGTGTCCTCATCTATTGAACGAGGCTCGTAGTGCAGGCCGCTCCTGACCTGTCCCTTCTGCTACCTGGACATGACCTTGTGATTGTGCGTGTGTGCGTGTGTGTGGGGGATGTGTCACAACTCAGCTGTCTTCTGTAGTGACGTGGTGGGGGGGGCGAGGGTCGGGCGTGGAGACGCTGGTGTCCCAGGGACGCCTGTTAGGAACTCGGGCCCCAGAGACCCCGGGCAGAGCAGGGTGCGTCTCACAGGCCTTGTATTAGACTCGGGGCCGTCGGCCGGGGCTTCCTGGGCAGGGGGACAGGTGAGCGGAGACCCGAGGGAGGGTCGGAGGGACTCAGACCGGCCCGGCGGTGAGCGCAGGGAAGGGGGCTCCGGGCGGGGGGACAGCATGCACCAAGGCCCAGAGGCCAGAGAGCAGGTGGTGTTTTCCAGGAACTGCGGGAGCATCTGGGGTGAATGTGGGGAGGAGGGAGACCTGAGGCCGGAGGAGGGGCAGGGCTGGAGCGCCGTGACCCACGGTGGGGGGCTGTGCCGGCCCGGGGGGCGTGGGGGGAGCAGAGACTTCCCTCTCCAGCCCCCGGCCCTGCCCTTGGGAGCCCCTGCCCTTGGGATCCCCTGCACGGGGCGCCCATATGGAACGCTGAGACCTGGCTGGGCATAGGGGCCGCCCCAGTCTTGGCTCCCGGGGCCACTGTCCCCATCCCATTTGCTTTGTGGGTGAGATTTGCATTGGGAGCCAGCCCTGAGCCCACCAGCTGCACGCAGTAGGGTCTCAGCAAAGGCCCCCAGTGCCTGGACAATCCGAGGTGGCGGAGTGACCCGGGGTCCCGGGTCTGAGAGGCAGGGGCGGGGGGCTGGGAAAAGAGAGGGCAGCTCCAGGCCTTGCATGCCTACTGCGTGCGGGGCTCCTGCCCGGGGCCTTGCAGACCGAGCCCAGGGAGGCACAACATCAGTCCCCCGGAGGGACAAGGGCCACAGGCCACCACCGCCAGGGGAACACCCGACGCAGGGGACGAGTGCCCGGAGTGTAGGAGACACAGTGGGTCTCCCAGGTGAAAGAACGGAGCAAGTGCAGTGTCCCCGACAGTCCCTGTGACGCTCACACGTGGAAGCGGTGACACGTGGGTAGATGGGCGTCGCTGAACGAGATTCACCCGGCTATTGTCGCGTCCTTGGGACTTCTGTCGGGTCGCTGTCCATGGGTCAGAGCGGCCCAGAGGCAGCCCGGACAGGGTCAGAGCGGACATTTGAACCCAAATCTGACCCTTTCCTTCCAGGGCTCTGTCCTCCAGATCAGCTGAGGGCCGGGGGTCCCTGACCAGCCGCTTCTCGGGCAGCGCAGGGCGGTGAGGTGGCTCCCTCGGGCAGCCCCTCTTGTTGCTCAGCCTGCATGCATTGAGCGCCTGCCCACGCTGCCCCCCTCGCCGTGTGGCCCGGGGCCAGCCTCTGCCCACTCTGGGGTGGCGCTCCCCGGGGCCCAGCTGGAGCCCGACCCGCCCGTAGGGCTGCGCGCGGCGTGTGAGGGCCTCGCTGGGTCAGAACAAAGGCCCGGGGTGCGGGCGTGCCGGCGTGCTCGGACCTGGTGCGAGTTTTTCCAAGGCTCTGTTTATGGCAACGGCGGGGAAGAGCTTAGCG